AGTAAACATACTACTTAGACACTAAGTGGGTGGTCATCACACACGTGTTGCATATCTTAAAAATGTAAGTCAGAACAGCTTGAGCAGGCCCGTATCTAACTCCCAGGAGTTGTCGAGAACTGAGTTAGTAATGTTTATTAATAAAACCAAAGTTGCATTTTTTTCTTCCTTAAAAAGGCAGTTAGCCTTTAGACATAAATCTATATATTTAAAAAAAATACATTGTTTCCAAATCATAAGAAGAGAGCCAGATTTTTCCCCCAATTCAGGATTCTTCTGTTCCATATATAAACAAAGTAAGATGCCCAGTCTGGTATTTTAGAAAACAAGTCTAGCTTGCAGAAGAGGCCATTAGGAAAAAAAATCTCATTTTATCTTATGTACAACAAATTTGGAAAGAAAAGCACTACTGGACCCAAAAACACATTGAATGCTAAAATATAATTGCCACGATGAGTCTGACTATAGCCACAGTCAAAAGATAGTATAAACTCTGAAACCCGCAGTTTAGTCCATGACTTCTCCATGTCTGCATTATAGTAACAAGTCATGGTGCAAATGGTCATTTAGTAGAGTATTATTTGTTGAATTCTCACATATGAGCTGGGGATACTTTCCACATTCCACTTTTCAAGAGTCACCAAAAATTCTCTGGGTCGCAGGAATAAAATTAAATATCCTGTCATAGGTAATAGGAGGTAAAACTGCAGTCAATTGTCCTGGGCATAAAGGCTAGCTTCATTCCCAGCATTTCTAGATGAAATAACTTAAAATTCTAAACTTTCCTTTATTCCTTATGGACAAAGAAATTTCACGACAGCTTTAGAAAAAAATGATTACTCTGTATGTGGTACTAACATGTTAAATATAATTTTTATGCATCAAACTATATTTATTATCAAGGATTTACTAACCTATTTAGGATTTTAGAATCTTTCTTGTCTAATCTTATGCCATAACACATCTTGGCTAAACACACAAACTAATTATGATATCAACACAGATTTTTTTTTTTTTAACAGCAGCAACTTCTGAGCATGTAAGAACATGTTTCGTGGTATAAGACAGCAGTAGATTTCATGGGCAGTCAGAATAATCTCATATTAAAATTGGCATCAAGTCCTAATAAGCACATTCACCTATCAAACAGCACTAGAAATTGAGCTGGTTATGAAAAACAAAAAACAAAAATAGAAATAGGACACCAGACTGCAATACACAAAGCACAGTGTATGTAGGTTTTTAAAATATGTAGATGTATATGTAATAGAAAACTCAAAACAACCCTATGGAAGGCAGGAATATTTCTCTCTCCCTTTTATATTCTCTCTCTCTCTCTCTCTCTCTCTCTCTCTCTCTCTCTCTCTGTGTAAGAATGACTAATGACACAATCACACACAACGTTTCTGCAAAAAATTAAATAAATGATTTTACCTTTCTTATTACAAATTCGTTTGAAGTAAAATTGTCGAATCTTGAATTTAGAGTCTCAACATTATTTATCTTATTTATCTTAAAGGAATGGATTGTTCGATTTAATTTAATTTTGTGTATTACTTCTTTTCCATCATCTATTTGGTGTTAAATTTTTGCAAATTTAGACTAATGTCAACCAGTGAGCTGCCTGAGAAACTTGCCTTAGCAAGCAAGGTCAAAAAAACAGACTGCTCTATGTTTATGGAGGAAATATGCACAAACATTCACACTTCAAACAAAACAAGGTTGAAATGGGTGGGGTCACTTGATTGACATCCATTTGTCAATTTCGTAGGAAAAATGTCTGGGCAGTTTCCAATATGTTTAGACAAATTTAGGTGAATTAAAGTGCTGACTAATGACTCTATATCTGTATACTAAATATAAGTAAGGGCCTGAAAACCCCCAGTGGTTTATTTGAACTATGAAAACAAGGAGGGGAGGGAAGCTTAGAAAAATGAAAAAGAAATATCTTGAGATGGCAAATTAATGAACAGAAATGGCATTCAGACATATCAAAAGATAAAACAGATTTAGTTTTTGGAAAGAAATCTAAGTCTAGTAAACAGGGCCAAGTCTCATGAATTGCAAAAATTGCATTATGTACGATCACTTTAGCAATAAAATTATTTGAACCATCAGTAACTACGGGTGGTTGTTTCAGGAGAACGAAGTCAATACATTTGTTTTCCTGAGGCAGGCAGGGGCAGTATTGCGCTACTCATGAATTTCATTAATATTAATTAATTTTTAAAGCACTTTGGTTAGCTTTGGCTATTATCTATATAGATATTTTGCCCTTAAATAAAAATAATTACAAGAACTTCATTATTTAAAACAATTAGCGCGGAGTTCAAAACCTACGTTTTCATTAGTGGACATTATTCATGGGAGAGTATATATTTTTCAGAAGATTCTGTTCTAATTGAATTCCTGGGGTAAAATTCTAATAATCATACTGACTAAAATAACCTAAATGTAACCAAAATTAAACTGAAAATACTTTAAAAATTTTTTTCAAATTAATCTCCACTTTCAAGAATACCATAGTTGACCCAATTAGCTCTGCAAAGGAATTCAGTTGTTTTACATTCTTTTGCATTTCATTCTTTAGTATTTCACAGTAGACTGTTTTCACCAGTCCAGTGCCTTGGATCCCAGAAGATCCCGGTGCACATTTAGTGATATTTACCTTATGAAGTAACTAAATCCAGATGAGCACAGAGCTCACATGGCTGTAAAAAGAAATTGTTTCCTCATGTTTACAGCTCCCATTCTTGAACAAGAAACTGAAAACTCTGATAATTATCCTTGTGCAAGTAGGAAATTACAGACAGAAATGCAAAATAGTTTTATTTGTAAATAAGCCCAACCATATGAACCATTTAATATTGTAATCTGCTAAAGTCCTTTAGCTTTGTAAATTAGGCTTTTTACACTAGGACAGATTAACAACCAAGACAAATAATTCATGAACATGGAGTTGGAGATGGAATCCTCCACATGTCCTTGATTCATATCCACTGTGGTAAAGTATGTTGAGTTATACTTTGTGGATTATTAGAAAATAAATAAATAAGATTTAAAATACTATCTTAAACCAAGTCTAGCTATTTGAAATTTCTGAAGCATGACCAAGGAGCAAATTTGCAATGGTGCTGTCAGATTCCCTGAACTGGAGTTACAGAGAGTTGTTAGCTGCCATGTGGGTGCTGGGATTCAAACCTGGGTCTTCTATAAGAACAGCCAGTGTTCTTAACTACTGAGCCATCTCTCCAGCCCTGAAAACACACTTTTCTGTTTGTGTTATGTGTCATATGTATGTACACACACGTAAGAACATCCTGCACTATGACTGTAGTTGAATCTGCTTGATTTCTCTTTTCAAAAATAACTTCCAGTCATGTGAAACACCCCAGTTACTGGGATTCTTTATGTTTTGTTTTCTAATTTTTTTTGTTGATTGCTTGTTTTTGGTATGTGTTTATGATAAGCGGGCCCCTTGGAGCAAGTACAATTTCACTGTTTAGGTTAGTTTGAAAAAAAATAGGGAAAGTGTCTTCTTACTGAAGATGTATGCTAATAAATTTTTCTAAAAACATGGTCATTAACAGCTGACCAACAAGAAATGTAAACTTAGCTCCTGACTCCCTAAGTTGATTCAAACTCCTCCCCATTCCAGAGGTTCCACAGATGGATAATTCTCTTCAGCAACGTTTATTTCTACTCAGATTTATTTTTGAAGAGCAAGGAAGAATTTTGCTGCATCTTCATGTGCGTACATTTCCAATCTATGGAACCCTGGGCTTTGGGTTGCCCACTACAGAGATGTTGAGCTCTCTCAGCTGCCTACATCTGACCTGTCATTACATAGGGGTGGGGGTGTCAAAGGCAGGAGGTGGCCCTTGGAAACTAGACACAAAATTAGTATCAGCACCTGAAACTCCACCCTCTCCAGGAAGCTACCCCCCTCCCCCAAGCTACCACACTTTAGGAAGGCCAGTGCCTCTAAACTCTTCCAGGCCCTGGAAGGCCTCTCCAACATCTGAGCAGGAAACGAATGGGATGGAAAGGGTTAATGGGAGCGTCATGTCCACCCACCACCCTTGCGGGGTAGGGGTGGGGGCTAGCCAGGAGCCTCTCAGCTGGGGAGCAACTGGAAACCACAAACACCCAAACTAGGTAGCTGAACTTGAACTGAACAGGGAAGCTGGCCTAGGGAAAGGAGTCAGTGAAGTTTAACAGAACCAATAAAGGTATCTGAACAAACATTCTAAAGACAGAAAAAGGTGGAACATCCCTGCCCTCTCAGCCCACGGATTTCCCTTGTGTTTTATGACCCCAATGCCCTTTATTTCCAAAGATTCTGTCCTGCAGGAGTGTTGAATGTGAAGGCGTCCGAGGGGGGCGGGCAGCTTTGCTTGGCCACTGCTTCCAAATAACCTTTGTGGAGGGGGTCGGGATGCAAAGCCACCTTTGGCCAACCTGTGCATCCTCAAAACCAGCTGGAGCCAAGAGGCTCCAAGGACCAGCTCGCCGCCCGGGCCCCAGACCCCTCTGCAAGCCCTCCAGCCTCCAGCGTCAAGAGCCAGCACATCCCTCAGCAGTCCCTTTCCCACTGCCCACCCGGGACCGTCCCTGTCTCCTCCCAGAAACCCACAGGCGCTCTCAGAGCCCACCAGCAAATTCCAAACAGCCCCATCCTTTCCAGGAAAATAAGAGACCATGACATCACGGGCAGGTTTATTTGGGTTTGTTTGTTTGCTTGTTGGCTCGATTAAATACTCGTGGAAGGTGAACGTACCCCACACAGGAGAAGTTTGATGTTGACAAACTTCTGGTGGCAGCGAGACTGTGTCAGCACAACTTCCGGGATAATGAGAGCTGCTTTGCAGGGAACGCGGCAGCGGCGGCGGGAGGCGGCCGCAGGACGGAACAGCAAATGCTATTCAGCCCGAGCAGTTTCAAGCCGCCCGAGCTGGGGAATTACTGTAGTCGAGCTACGGCTCTTACCACCGGCGCTGGATCTGGGCGCGCGTTAGGGGGGGAAGCTGCAGGCACAGGGCGCTGAGAGGGGAGCTTTCAAGTTACTTTGCTCCATCCCTGCACCCGGCAGAGGCTTGCAGGTGGCGTGGTAACTGCAAACATCTTGTTCTCTGCTTCTTTGGGTGACAGCCCTGGAACTAACCAACTTTTCTCTCCCCCAAAACTCCCTCTTTGTTTCAAATAGGACTCTCCAAAATTTATTCTGGGGAAGACTGACAGCCGGGGTCAAGAAACAGCTGTTGAAGTTAATGTTTCTTCCTCCCACTTCGTCTGATGGTTGTGCCCTGCCAAGACAAAGTGAGAGGCTCTGCCTGGTGGCTTCTTTAGACATGCATTTAGCTACAAAAAAAGGCGGGGAGGGGGACTGGCGGGGGGAGTGTATTTTCCTGCTTAACATACAATCTGATCTGAAATGCAACAGCATGTGCCTTTCAACTTGTGCTGATTGCTCGCTGAAAAGCAGCAGTATTTACTTTCGAACACTTTGAACATTGGGGGTGGGAATGGCAGGAGAGGTAGTTGACACTTTACACATTTTGGTAAGGGAGCAAAATTTTCAAACCTTTCTCCCTTTGACACACTTGGCCCTCTAAGAGAGGTAGAATGGCCTGGGTAGGGGAGAGAAAAGCCTTGCACACTTTTGCAAGGTGGAGGTTTCAAAATACAAATCCTTGCGCAGAACAAGAGCTGACAGAACTTGACAAACCATTTTTATTTGGAGATGACCATGGCCTAACTTAGGGTGCTCCTGGGTCTTGGCTTTTGGTCTGTTTTTCAGATGGGGCTTGGCTCCTCTCCCTTTCCCCAGTAAACTCGGTCTTTATCCAGAAGGTGCCCTAGAGCTGGGACCTTACCCCTTTGTACTGCTCTTTCCAGAGTGAAAGCTGGCTTAACATAGCCCTTCCTGGCTTGATTATCAAAGTGCTATGGATTGTGAAAGGACTCCTTAGGGTTGTCCTCCTGAGCTCCATGCCTTGGTGAGCAACTCTCCAGGTGCCCAGCCCTCTGCACTGAGAGTGGGTGGATGGGAACTCAAGTCTTTCCACACCAAAGAACTTACCCGCCCTTCCACCTAGCCCGTTTTCCTTTGGGGATGCTGGGTTCATTTGGCCTCTCTCAAATCAAATTCTATGAAGACTTAAAAGGCCCTCTCTCCACAACACTAGGTTATCCTGTCACCACATCGCAATGCAGTGCCATCACAAAGTGCTATTGCATCAGACCGGAGGATATTTTAGGAAGCTCTCAAGCTGGGACCAGCGAACCTTTGGTACAGGCATCAGGGCCACGCTGCCAAACCCAGGACTGCAGAACTGCTGGACAGGTGGCAGCAATGCCCCCTGGATTCTCAGTTCCATTATCCCTGTTCTCTCCTCACCCCCGAAGCATACAAGTCTGCTTGGTGGCTTCCCTACCCTTTCTCTGCGAGGCTCCCAGATGTCACCACCTTTGGTTTTCCTCCCGTCTCTACAACGTCTTTCAGGCCTCCAGATGGGTTTCCTATTTTTCTGCCCATCATGGTCACTAACTGAAATAGTAGTAGTATTTGCTCATATTATCTATAAATCAAGTGAATTACACTTTGAGTAGCAGCGGCTACCACACACATAGCCTCCAGCTTGGGTGTCTGCATAATCACAGGCTGCATTGACTTGGATGAACTTTTCTCATTCTCCCAGACTGCATCTCGCTACCTTGGCTGGCACTAGAACAGTGGCCAGAAATCAGTACACCCTCAGCAAGTGCCCCCTTCTCCGGGGTCCTGCTAATGCAATCCAGCAGCCAATAGACTTAAATTCCTTCTACTTTATTGTTCTCAGTCCTCAGAAAGGCCTAAGGCTCAGCATCTAGCAGGGCTGAGGCAGACCTCCACTGATCCTGGAGTTGTAATTCCCTACTGCTTGCTCCTGTAGTTTTATTACAGGCTCCTTTTTTTCTAAGATCGACAGGCATAAACCTCCAGTGTGGAGGCCTGCAACAGTACCCTTAAAGGCTTCTTTGTGCAGAATTGTAACCTTAGGGCAAAGTAGACCCAGCTCCAGGAAAGGTACATTATCCTGCCACAGGGAAGTACTCTACCTGTAACCTCTGGGGTAGTCCTAAGGGTCAGAACCCTTAACCTTCCAGGAACAGTACATTCTTTCTCTAAGTAGAAGATAAGCTTGTTGGTTTTTATTTTTGAGGGGGAGAGAGAGGTCAGGAGAGGGGAACAGTGAAGGTGGAGAGCTTGTAGGAGACCTGTCCTGCTGGCCAGGGAGCTCTACATGCAAGCAGAAGTGGATGCCCTGTAATGAATGCATCTCCAAATGTGATCATTCCTGAAGCCCCATATCAAAGCATTCAAGACAAGACATCCAATGGTGGGGTGACACTCAGCACCATTTACTTTTGGAACTGACCCTACCTGGATCACTTTAAGGGTCTTATGAGTCTCTTCAGGTATGGGGCTAGGCCAGTTATTCCAAAGGCAATGGTGAAAAGATACAAGCTCCTAATTTACCATAAAGGCTAATAGATCCAAATCAGGTAGAATCATTAAGGGATTTAGAGGTAGAACCTTTTTCCAAACAGAAAATAATGAAGAATCTTTTTTGATTGAAGCATAGTGAGGTCGAGAATATAGCAATTTATGTCTCCCCCCTACACACACATTTAAGTATTGATTTATACTTTCAAAAAGAACTGTGATATGGGCTCATCAGAGGTATATGATTAGGCATTAACTGTTTCATATGGACAAGTGCAAAACTGGAGAGGTGTGCACTTCTCATTTGAAAGGGCTCCTTGTAGGAACTGGGACTGTGCCTGGATTAAGGGAGATGGAGATAAATCTCGTTAGAGATGATGGGTTTGAAATTAGGAGCAGTAAGAAAGACCTGAGTATAGTTCCCATGGAATCTACTTTAGATGTGGGTGCTCAGCCCTGGAGTCCCAGCAACTGGAGTTAGTAGTATAGTAAAGTGAGCACAATGCTTCCAGTCAATGCTTTAAAAAAAAAAAAAAAAAAAAACGTGCTCTCACAGAGGGAAGAACATGGACTGTGAAGGAAGTAGGAATGAAGATAGTTCTTCAGATGGCATTTGAGATTAAGAATGTGGACGGAAATAAAAATACACATGTGATTATTTGCCCTTTTCTCTTTTCCTCTTAAGTCCAGGCATATTTGCCCTTTTCTCTTTTCCTCTTAAGTCCAGGCAGGAGTTTAACTTCAAGTTTCTAAAAGGCTCTCTGTTATTTCTTGGTTGTTTCTCCTCCAGTTACCCCATCCATACTCCAGTTCTGGTTTTGGGCAGAGCTGTAATTGTCCTTTGTATGGAATTGCATGAAATCCTGTGCTGGTTTTCTAATGTGGGAAAATGTCTACTACAGAGGGGAAGACCACCAAACTAGTTTCATTACTACCCAAGGTGCACTTAAATCCAGACCTTCAGTGGTGGGCAGCTGGCCCAGCTCACCCTTCCATAGTGCTCATTAAAATGTTATTTACATTTTACAATATGGTCTTAAGCCACGACTTGGATTTTTATCTTGGCAAATAGAAAGGAATACTTTTGTGACATTGGGGCTGCAAAGTTTTAGCTTTTACTATGGCTCTGCTGGTGACCTGCAAAGCAAGGTCTCAGTATATCAGAAAGGTCTTTCTCCTATTTCAGCTCAGAGGAGTTGTAGGGGAGGGAAGAACAAACAAAAATCCTGTGCTCACAGAATTAAACTTATCAGCCATATATATTTTTTAACTTTTACTTTCCTCTTAGAAATGGACTTAATGTTTATCAAAAGTACAGAAATCAACAATTATGAAGCAAGCATAACTTATACTTAGATATACAATGAAGGTAGAGAGTCTTCCTCAATTCTCATCCCTAGAATTATTCCAGATCAACAACAGTACCACAAATCCCAGTCACTTAGGTAAACCATATTCTCTGAATTCTTACATCAGCAGGTCAAATTAAATTAACATTTTAATGATGTGTTTCTGGCATTGTTCAGGCTTCATAAAGAATAAATCTTTTAGCTCAAGGCAATGAAGCTACACACATGCTTTAATAAATGAATCTTTCTGGCTCTGGAAATCAAGTTTCCTTGAGTTCTTCTGGGACAGTAGAAGACCCTTCAGAATCTAGAAACCCAACCATAGGATGCTACTACCTTTCCAGAACAACCATTAGGAATTACAGCTAGAACCAGTTATGAGAATTTTTTTTTTTTGCAATATCCTCATGAAGGCCAAATGAAAATCAGAAGCCATTCTCAAATGGCAATAGGCCAAACTTCTAAGACCTCTGGAGATGCTTGACATCTTGCCATGTGTCATCACAATCAAGTCCTGGATAGGGTATTCTCGTCTGAGTTTCACTGACTGCCAGTAAGGGGCATGTGTGGAATAATAAATGATTGAACTCAGTGCTCCACTTATAATCTAGCATGCTTAACAACCTCCTTAGGAAGAGAATATGCGGAAAATGCATCAAAGATGGTATCAACTCTTCCCTTATCAACTGTCTGGTGATATCTGGTGGAAGGACCACCTTCCTTCTATGGCTTGCATGACCCTGAGATTATCTGTGATTGTAATACAAAGCTCTCAGTTGAGAACAATGAGCCCTTTTCTTGGCAGCAGAGTGGTGGACCACAAGGTCAACTTCAGAGAATTTTTTTAAAAGAAAAATTTAGGGGAAAGCAACCAACTCACTGACCCAAGAGAGGTTTTATTGCAAAATGACAATTTCAGGTCTTGGCAGTTATATAACACAGTTGGCTTACCAAAGGTGCTGGCTCTCCCAAAAGATTATAGTATATAATGTAGTATTTTATGTCTAACTACCATGTAAAACCTGAAGGTGTCTTGATATCTCTGCTCAAAGAAGGCATGTCAGACTGCAGATAAATATATGTGTATAATATAGAGTCTTTAAGTTCACAACTACATCCAGAAGTCATAAATGTCTTGCATCTAATTGTAATCTAAATACAATCACATGATATCTAAATGCAATCATACAAATTAATGAATGCCATTGCATTTTAGTACTAATGCTAGCTGCTGTTTTTTCCCAAGACCATTTTTACCAAAGAAATGAAAGGTAGTATCTATTCACAGGATTTACTGTATATATAACAATTAGAAACAACCACAAGATCTTTCTTGAGACGTGAATACCAGGTGGATGGCTCGACCCACTTACTAATCAAGTAATTTGTTCTCAGACAATAATGCTTAGGATTCTGATGTTGGTCTCAGCTAAACTGCAGGTTATTATTTCACAAAGACCTTTAAGGTTGACCATAAAACACTGCAGTGTTCAATACTAGGTTCTCACATCATCAGATATGAAGGTGGGGGGGGGAGAAAAAGAATTTGTAGCTTATAATCCACAAATTATTTTCCTATAGTTTCAGATATTGAGGATTACTTTTTAAACCTCTCAAGGCAATAACTGTAAGACATTTTCCATAAAAGGGGAGTCTTTTTGCATTTCATGTCCTACCCCAAGAGACCCACAACTCTTCAACATGCAAAGAATAAGAGACTGTGCAGTACTTAGCGCTAAATGGGACAATTGTATCACACTCACTTCCTCCAGGATTCAGGGATCATTTCTGAAGAAGAGGAGGAAAGGTTGTTAAGAGCCAGAGGTAGTGGACTTTGCAGCAAAACAGTGTTACTGGCCATGACAGGGTGGTGACACACATGAACTCATAGCAGCAATGACTGCATACACAGGACTGCACAAAAATCAAGCCAGACAAAATCCCAGCATGGTTGGGGGGTTGGGGGGTTGGGGGGCGCGGAATGGGTTCAGGAAGTACCACCCCTAGCTGAGGAGCTACTAGCAATTGATGGGTGCTGAGGGAGGGACAGTTTTCTTCACAGATGTAGCCCCTGAGAGGCTACCCACGGTCCTGCTCCAGTCAATGGTCCTACACGCATGCACATACAGGCAGTGTTAAATGGACTCTGCGGGTTTCAAAAAAGAGCACATATAGCCAGACATAGTACATGCCTTAATCGGCAGCACTCAGAAGATAGAGGCAGAAAAATCTCTGTGTGTGTTCCTGGTTTACACAGAGAGTTCCAGGCCAGCAGTGGGAAGGGAGTGAGTGATGGAAACACTATCTGCATGTGTGAAGTTCTCAAATAATAAAAGTAATTTTTAAAGAATACATCTAAGAAGCAACTTGTTTTCATTCTACAAGAAGGGAAATGACCTAAATAAATTGCTTGTTTTTTATATAGTAGTGAACTCAAACCACTTTTTAAAGTACAGTGAATCCTGTGATATTACTTTGTAATCTAATATATGTAAGAAGCTTTACCTGACAAAATACACTTTTTTCTTTTTTAAAAATGTACACTTTTACAAATGTTTAACTCTTTTGGAATGGTTCACAAATCCAAGTTATACTATAATGATAGTTAAGAGGTACATTATATTTCTAAAATTCTAAAAAGTACTTGGTAAAAGTGA